TTCAGGTAATGTTTCCAAACATACTGATTTCTGGACCCTTATCATCCCCATTTTAATTACGGCCAAAATATTTAATTATTTTAACACTGTTTTTAAATTTTGTATGCTCTGTTTTTACTTAGGCTGTGCACTGCCCTGAGTCCTATTTGGAGAAGGGCGGTATAGAAATTTAATTAATTAATTAATTAATTAATTAATTAATTAATTAATTGAGGGACTATGTGCCATCAAATCAGTGCTGACTCTTAGCATGCACGAAGATGGATCTTCCTCCAGTGTGATTTGTGCTGCTCCTTCAATCGTTCTAACATCATTACCCATTACAACCAAGTTCATCTACTGTCAGCTGGTGTCCTTGTCTTCTAACATCCCCAGCATTAGAGACTTCTCCAGAGATCTAAGTCCTTGTGTAATGTGTTCAATTAGGATAATTGGAGATTACCTATTTGTCCCTCAAATGAGAATTCTCAGTTATTGTTCAATGATCCAGATATTTTCTTGTCTATCCATAGAATGCTCCAGTATCCAACACCAACTTCAAAGTTATCAATACCCTTCTATAAGATATAATGTATGCAGTCTTATGACAGAAAAGAAAGTAAAGAGATTATGTTTCAAATGTTCTTGTCTATCCATAGAATGCTCCAGTATCCAGCACCAACTTCAAAGTTGTCAATATCCTTCTATAATATATAATGTCTGCAGTCTTATGACAGAAAAGAAAGTAAAGAGATTATGTTTCAAGTGTTCTTGCGATCTGTACAGTCAGGAAAATATACCACAATTCATTTTTTTCAGTAGTGAAGGGACTCATTTAAGTGAATTGTATCTATGAGTATTTTGCATAATTACTCACTAGGGTGAAAGTGCACAGATAACTGATAATTTGCTTTGTGCGTATGAATCCTGACTAGGAGAAACAGAGATGGTGCAGTTCTTTCCTGATGCCTGAAAAGCTAAGGAGGATGCAGAATATATAGAAACCACACAGCCTTTCTGGCAAAATCACTCTTAAAATCACAATAGACTAATGCATTTTTTATTTCTGTATGTTAATGCTTTGAATTTAGTTCTTAGATTGAGATTGTAGCATTTAAAAAATGCGGCAATTTAAAGAAAGAGCTTTGTTGTTTTTTTCTGGGTTGCCATGTGGTATTTGCTACAAGGTGGCTTCTGTTACAGCTACTTGACACTGGAAAGTGAGACTGATGCTTTAGGAGATCCTGAACCTGTCCTCCTAGATCCCTAATTTTAGAATCCAATTAGAAGCTAATTAACCCCTGATGTGGCCATTTTAATAAACTTATTGTTTTATCTCACTTTTATTCTTTCCACTCATGTTTATAGTTCTGTCTCTGCTTCCCCAAACCTGTAATTTATTTCCACAAGCTCTTTTAGTAAAAGCCCCATTTCTTCTCCACTTCCATTTGAATCTATTCTCCTCTTCCAGTGCCTTTGAGGGAAGTGCATTTTGAAACTGAACTTTTCTTGGCTGGTTACTTTGAACTGTTCATTGGCATCACTTTGCCCCAACCACAATGACTTGAGACTGCCTTTCTGGTTAGCACCTCTGCCAGAGGGGATGTCAGACTTCCCTGAGCTTGAACCTCTAAGTAAGAATGATCCCTAACTCCATTTATTGAGAAAGACATAGTTTACTAGAAGTCAAGTGAATTACAGTAATGCATAGCCAAAACTGAATATTGTATGTCAAAAACCCCAAATCCAGGGGTGAAATGCTCCCGGTTGAGACCGGCTCGGGTGAGTAGGTAGCAATGGCGGCGGGCAGTTCGGAGAACCGGTAGCAAAAATCCCTGCCCCCGCCCCCATGCCCAGCTGAGCCGCACAATCATCATAGCCTTTTTTTTCCTTTTAAATGGCTCTGACGATCCAAGCTCTGACAATCCCAGCTGAGTTGCCTGCTAATCAGGCAACTCAGCTTGGATCACCAGAGCCATGTAAAAGAAAAAAAACTTTTTCCTTTTAAATGGCTCTGACGATCCAAGCTCTGATGACCCCAGCTGGGTTGCCTGCTAATCGGTAGCAAAAATCCCTCCCCCTCCCACACTCAGCTTGCTTACCTTAGCTGCTGGTCGCAATGCCTTGCTGTAATCCCTGCAATCCATTGCATCAGCAAGCAACTGAATCTCCTTGCCTGCAATCAAGCAGGCAGGGAGTTGTGGACTTCAACTCCCAGAATTCCTCAGCCAGCAAAGCAAAGCTGGCTGAGGAATTCTGGGAGTTGAAGTCTACAAGTCTTAAAGTTGCCAAGGTTGGAGACCCCTCTTCTATTGGGTAAGATTTTTTCCCCTTTTGGAGCTTTAAAAAAATAGTTAATTGAGTGGGTTTTTAGTTGTTCTTTTTTTAGACCTAGCCATTTAAAGTTTAGGAAGTTTTAAATGTAGCTGCTTTTATATAAAAATAAAATGAAATGAAATAATATTTGTGCAGCTTTCTGAGATTTAGTGTGTTTCTGTAGTGTTTCACTCTAACTACACAAACACACAAAATCTCACAAAGCTGTATGTGGAATTTTGTATGTGTAAAGTGTGAAAGTTGGTTTTTTGGGCTTTTTGTGGCTGTGTGAGGTTCCTGCTTGTTGCAGGGGCCAGTTTGGGTCTAGCACAGCTGCTTTTATTTTGTGGGTGAGCCAGTTGTCTTGTGTTGTGTTTTGTAGGTTAAAAAAGGGCAAAGAAGTGACATTGACTTGGCCATGCCTACCTGACCAACAAGCAACGCCCTCCCAGTCACCTTACCACCAAGCCACGCCCACTAATTAAGCCACGCCCATAGAACCGGTAGCAAAAAATTTTAGATTTCACCCCTGCCAAATCTAACTTTTCCCTCCCTTAGTTACCTCCTCTCACTGGGTTCCTATGTCCATTCAAATTCAAAAAAGATGTTTTTAGAACAGTCACTTCAGGTATAGGTTTGGTATGCAGCTACTTACCTTTCCCAGCCGAATGTCCTTGAAGCCCATCTTCAAGAGATACAGTCAAGTTTCATTTCACTTAATGCATCTCCACTCCCGTCCAGCCCCCCTAAAGTTTATAGCAGTTGATACTGAATATCTATGGAGATTCTCAGTAATCCAGGTCCTGGTTGTCCCAAAGGTGCTTTTTCAGGAGGCAACTGGACTTTCTTGTTTTTTCTTTGAAGACATTTCACTTCTCATCCAAGAAGCTTCTTCAGCTCTGTCTGGATGGTGGGGAATGGAAGGATCACCACTACCATCCAGTCAGAGTTGAAGAAGCTTCTTGGATGAGAAGCAAAACATCTTCAAAGAAAAAACAAGGAAGTCCAGTTGCCTTCTGAAAAAGCACCTTTGGGACTGATACTGAATGGTTGCAAAACGTGAGCAGGAGGTGCAGCTGACAGGGGAAGAATTAATTCTCCTTCCCTGGAACTGTTTGGTTTTCCCTAGGAAATATAAGAATGACTCACTCCTTTTGTTTTCTTATTGATTATTTTATTACATTTAACTGATGAAGAGAGATAGAGAGATACAGATTACGGGCCAAAAATTGTAAAACTATCAGAGCATAGGCAAATAATTTATACCTACACCATGCCAAAGTAAGACCTTTCATGTCTATTTATTGTTTTATAATGGTGGCCAACTGTTCAGGGATCAATATAAATAGCAAGGTTGAAGTGGAGGCCCTGCTGAATGCTCAATTATAACTCATAAAAACTGAAATTATTTGGTTCGTAATGAATGTATTGCAGCTGAAATATTAAATCCCAAACCACTGAACTAACTCCCAGGGATAGCAGTATCCACTCATCGCTTGTTTTAAAAATTTTATCTGACCCAAATCAAAAACTTATCCTGGGTCTCAAGATACGAATACAGTTAAGTTCATTCAATTCTTTGCCATATCCTATATATCAATGAATAGAAATAGTGTTTGTATCTTCACCATTTTTGAGGAACTCCAACTGGGAGGATGAATTATTTGTTCTCTAACATCTCTATTCAGTGTAATAATTAAGGCATTATATACAGAATAACAGAGTAACAAAGTTGGAAGGGACTGTGGAGATCTTCTAGACCCCCCTGCTCAAGCCGGAAAACTTATACCATTTCAGACAAATAGTCATCCAATCTCTTCTTAAAAGCATCCAGTATTGGAGCACCAACAACTTCTGGTGGCAAGTCATTCCACTGATTAATGTCTATGGAGATTCTCAGTTATCCAGGTTATCCAAAGGTGCTTTTGCAAAAGGCCACTGGACTTTGTTTTAATTGTTCCACTAATTAATTGTTCTAACTGTCAATAAATTTCTTCTTAGTTGTAGGTTGGTTCTCTTCTTGGTTAATTTCCATCCACTGCTTCTTGTCCTACCTTCAGGTGCTTTGGTTGACCCCCCCCCCTCTTCTTTGTGGCAGCCCCTTAGATATTGGAACAGTGATATATCACACCCTAGTCCTTCTTTTCATTAAAGTAGACATACCCAATTCCTGCAAACATTCTTCATATGGTTTAACCTCCAGTCCCCTAATCATCTTCGTTGCTCTTCTTTGTACTCTTTCTAGAGTCTCAACCTTTTTTTTATACTGTGGTGACCAAAACAGGATGCAATATTTCAAGTGTGTTCTCACCCAGGCATTATAAAGTGGTATTAATACTTCACATGATTTTAATTCTATCTCTCTGTTAAAGCATTCTAAGACTGTGTTGGCATGGTTTTGTGTAACAGCAGAAGATGTATGCTAACAATTGATCTAAGGCTTATATTGATAATTACTTCATTGTTTTATTTTAAATGTCTTTTTCAGCAATATGTGATTAATAGATAAGATACTCATCAAATAAAGAAGGGGAAAGAATGACACTGATTTTAAGTCATAATCTGTGATTGAATAATGAAGAATGTCTTCCAGAATGAAATGGAAGCACACACACACACACACAAACAAACATGCACACACAAAATACAGTCATGATGGTGATTGAGTATACTGCCCAGAGCTCCCCTAAAAGAAGGCACACATCTGCAATGCTGATTTAGCTTTATTTTAAGGAAAAAAATGCCAAATTTTGCTTCAATGTATACATGTTTTAGAGTCTGATAGATAGCAATTTTGATTTACATAAGAGAAGCTAAAGCGATAACAGGCGGTGATGACAGGTCGTTGGCCATAACTCAGAGATATCCAGGATAGAGATTGCATCATTTTCCTTTGACACTATAGAAATGAGATAAAATAATTTCTTGATTAAAGTGGGTTTAGTGTTTCTTCTGCCTCCTCAACCCCAAAATCTATCCTTTCTGCCCATTTTTTTTTTTTACAGAGATTTTCCCTGGAACCATTTTCCCTGTTTGTGTCATTGCCTTACAATGCTTTATGAATGCAAGGAATATCAGGCAGATTATGCCAATCTACATCTGTGGCATCTCTATTAGGGAAGGGTTTCCTTACCTATTTTTTAAATTTCTACAGCAATTTCTTCCAATTTGAACGAAGCCAGTACGACAGCGAAGCAAATAACACCTACGTTGAGTTTGCCCTTGGCCGGCACCTGTGAAAAGAAAAAGAGCAGATAAGTGAATAATGAATCAAGATACTTTTTTATATATACTGCAGAGTCTGGTTTTCCACTGGAATTCTTCCCTACTTGTTTAATTGCTGCAGCAGCAGTTCCATTGCTGCTGTTTTCTGCTATTGAAAACTGCACATATGAGAGTTAATGACTTGCACAAGGGATACTCAGGATATCTCAGTCATCAAAAAAACTTTAGAGAATAAGGGGAGGACATATTACTTCTGTACTGCTCTGAAAGAGAAGTACATTGGGTTGTTCACTCCCCTTGACTCCCCAAGAGTCAAGCTTCTCTTCAGGGAGTATGTACAGTTTTCTTTTTTGTATTAAGGAAATAAAAATAGATATGTGGGGGAGGAAGATAATTTCTCTGCTGCTAGATATTTTGCTGCAAACATCTAGGGAATTCCTCATTTCACTTCTGCTTTTCATGCTAAGTATGAATAGATCCACTCGAAGATTATTATAGTATAGTATAATATAGCTATCTTTCCTCTTTACACAAATAGAATATAAATAGAATAATGAACCAATAAATTGGCTTTCCAGTCCCTCCTTGATGCCCTATATTATATTGAATTTCTATTTTTATTTTATAAGAAAAATCAATTATGTATTTTTCAGATGTTTGGAATTTTATATTGTCAATAGTCAATGTATCAAGAAACAAAAAAATAAATAAACCAAAAGGCATCAATGACTGCAATATTTCAAGCTAAAAGATGAACCTTTAATTCCAGAAGATCATCCCTTATGATTGTGCAAATTTGGTGCCCAAATTGAATTGTAAACCATACAAAATTGTAGCAGATTCCCCTTCTTTCAAAAATGATTCTATTTATTTAGAAATGAGTAAGTTACCAATCCTTTCTAAATTATCAGTAAATTTGTTTCTTACCTGGTTCAGTCAGGAAGGTAAAAAAAAGGACTGCGAAGAGCAGATAAAGGATCTTCATATTTGGATTGGTTCTGGACCAAATCTTATTCCTGGGACAGGACACAGCTCTATATTTATGGAGTTAGAATGATTGCATCACATTGCCTCAATGAAATATTGCAACTATGCTTAGGAGTTACTTTTACTGTTTTACATAAGTGGATATTGCATAATGTCTTAACCACTGAGCTTAGGAACACATACTGTAAATTTCTGTTTGACCACCTCATTCTGTTTGGTCCTGTATGACCATACATAACAGATTGATTGATTGATTGATTGATTGATTGATTGATTGATTTGTTTGTTTGTTTGTTTGTTTGTTTGTTTGTTTGTTTTCATCTTATAGTGATTCTCTTAATTTCTCAACTAAGAAATTAAGAGTTGGATACATAAAGCATGAGTGACTGGAAGTAGGAACCTCTGATCCAGGAAAGGCCATAATTGGCATGTATCTGCCATCTGCTATAACAGGAGCTTTGAGTCCAAGAATATTGCCTAGTCATAAGACAAAACCTCCACTCTGAATTCATGAAGAAAGTAAAATGCCATAATTAACAGTATCAAAAGCCAGTGAGAGTTCCAGACAGATGGGAAAGTTATACTTCTTCCCAGTTTTATTACAGGTTACTCTCAAAACTATTGTGTGTGTGTGTGTGTGTGTGTGTGTGTGTGTGTGTGTGTGTGTGTGAACATGCATGATGTTCTAATCTAATGGAAGAGATCCAGGTAATGTTTCCTCTAGAATCCTTTGCAATCACTACCCCACCATGTCTCAGCAATCTTCCTCAAAAAGGGAGGCTGTCATCAACCAGGAAAGCAGGGATACAAATCACAGATGATCATGCTAAGATACAAAAAAACAAACAAACAAACAAACAAAAAAACCTCTGAATCCCTGAATTAAAAATTAAAAATGGGAACTTTCTATTCTATCCGATTCAGTCCTTAACCTTAACTTCATTGTAAAAGATTCAGTTGAGTCAACATAATAGCAGAAATGAACCCATAGTATGAAGGTTTCAGGAGGTTTCACCCTATTATGCCAGAACCTTCTCTAGGTTTTTTCACCATACTTTTACTGTGCGCATGGAATAATTTTCACTATCAGTAGCACACATTGCCTGTTGTCCTCTTTAACTGTGAAATATAGTAAGATGCTACAGAGTGTGTATTTATTGGACAGTTTTTCCCCAAAAAAAAACCCTGATAAAAATGAAATAAATTATATGGCTTACTAGTCATATAAGGTATTAGTAAAACTTAATAACCTTCTAATTCTACTGCCTAGAGAAAGATTCTATTGGATGTTGTTTCATTCATCCATAGATTGGTGGACATTTTGCTCAATTAGGAAGTTAAAACACATTAACATAACTGGGAGGTAGCAGCCATGTTTAAGTTCAGAAGATAGTGAAAGATGGCTGTATTTAGAGCCCTTTTGGGCATATTAATGTGAATTCAACAGTCATTGTACTGGAAAGCCATTCCAAATGTGTGAGGTTCCTAAAGTTAGGCAAACTCTGGTTTAAAGAAAATGTTGGAATGCAGTATTGCAGGTTGACACTGCCCATTGCCAGGAGTTCAATCCTGACCAGCCCAAGGTTGACTCAGTCTTCCATCATTCTGAGGTTGGTAAAATGAAGACTCAGATTGGTTGGGGCAATATGCTGACTCTATAAATTGCTTAGAGAGTGCTATAAAGCTCTATGAAGTGGTATATAAGTCTAAGTGCTATGACTATTGCTACTACAGTTTAATAGTGTGCAAGGCTGACAAAAGCCAAAGAAAGAGTTTGAGAGGAAATTAAACACATGAATACAAGGAATTCATGTTGAGAAATAACGGTGAGATATCAACAGAATCCATGAAACTCAAGCTACCTGATGTAACACTTATGTGAAAGTGTAGAAATATGGATGAACCAACAACTTCAACTGACTTGGAATTTAGCAATCACAATTCCTAAGATAGAAAGCAAACATTTATTTATTTATTTATTTATTTATTTATTTATTTATTTATTTATTTATTTATTTATTTATTTAATTTTATTTAATTTTTGAATTTGTATACCGCCCTTCTTCCTAAGGACTCAGGGCGGTGTACAGCCACATAAAAACATACACTACAAATATTAAAATACCATTAAAAGATATATATAAATTTGGCCCCATAATTAAAAACAGTAACAAACCAATTAAAACATTTAAAAACTATTAGGTCAGCCCGGCTTGCTGGAAAAAGAAAATTTTAAGGGCACGGCAGAAGGCACCGAGGTCTCGGATTCTCCTTATCTCTGGGGGCAGCTGATTCCAGAGGGTAAGTGCCCCCACAGAGAAGGCTGGGGGTCACCAGCCGACATTGTTTGGTTGATGGCACCCCGAGGAGGCCCTCTCTATGGGAGCGCACCGGTCGATGGGAGGCTGTCGGTAGCAGCAGGCGGTCTCGAAGATAACTAGGTCCTATGCCATGGAGCGCTTTAAAGGTGATAACCAACACCTTGAAGCGCACCCGGAAGACCACTGGGAGCCAGTGCAGCTCACGCAGGAGAGGTGTTATATGGGAGCGCCAGGTAGCTCCCGTGACTACCCACGCGGCTGCATTCTGGACCAGTTGGAGCCTCCGGGTGCCCTTCAAGGGAAGCCCCATGTAGAGAGCGTTGCAGTAGTCCAGGCAAGAGGTGACGTTAGCACATGCAGTTAGTTTTCAAATGAAATCCAAGTTCAAGATAAATTCAAGGTCTAGAAAATTTGAAAATGAGTGGTATGAGGTTATTAGGTTTCATAGTTTCCCTCATAATATTTCATGCTGGCATTCATATGTGATGTGAATTCAATTATTGGTCAGAAAACCACCAAAAGAAACAACACAAGAATTAATTAATGTGTAATTAACAAGGAATTCACCATTAATGGGTGAATTATCCTAAATTCAGAAACCTCACTTAACCTGTATTAATAATGAAAATGATTAATCTACTCCTTACTTCTTTACTATTGAAATCATCCTTCCCAAACAAGTCTTTTCCAAATATAATTGCATCTTTTCAGTGTATTGTTCTAAATCAGGGGTGTCAAACTCGATTTCATTGAGGGTCACATCAGGGTTGTGTTTGACCTCGGGGGGCCCGAGTGGGTATGACCAGCTCGATATCACTTCTGTTGAGAGAGCCTGTGGTGGCCAGAGTGCTCTGCCAGTGAAAATGGGCTCCCGAGTTCCGTTTTTGGCTGCCACTGCCTCCTACAACCCTCTGCCAGTGAAACCCTCTGCCAGAGGGTTGCAGGAGGCTGTGGCAGCCAAAAATGAAGCTCGGGAGCCCATTTTTGCTGGCAGAAGCACCGCAGGCCAGTCCTTCTCTGTTTCCAGGGTGGTCCTGCGGGCCAGATCTAAGTACCCCGTGGGCCAGATCCAGCCCCTGGGCCTTGAGTATGACAACCCCTGATCCAAATGGATTAGGTTTGTTGTTTGTTAGTAATATTTAAGATGGAACAGTCACTTCAGTGTTTTGTGAATAGACTGATTCCAATTGACTGATTCCTTGTGTCCAGTCTGGTAGTTACAAAGAACTGGGACTTAAACTGACCACTTCTTATGATTTATTTATTTTTATTTATTATTTTACTAAATTAATACTATCTTATACCATATTTGAGTTCTATTTTATTTTTGTTATTGTGCATCCTCATTTGAGTTCTGCACATGATCACTTAATTAATTAATTAATTAGGTTCAATTAATATTGCACTGCTGAATATAATGGTAATCCCCTCTTTTATTTTACAAAGAAAATCGGATGGGTAGACAATATAATAATATACAATATAACAATGTAAAGATGGTATAAAGCCATATGCTGGACCTCTCTAACCAGACGGCCCTCAGTATGCTACAAGGAAGAGGTAAGGATTGTACTATCTATGCTTATGACATTTAAAGCCATCAAGGTGTCTTGTTGCTTGAAGTTCCATGTAATAAAAGAAAACCGGACGTATTTTGAAACTGAAAGGAGACATTAAGGTTGAATGTGTAAAGTGGTAGCTAAAAATTAAGTAAGGAAAAAACAAACTGGATATCAAAACAGCCATGGAAATTGCTAGAAGAGAAGAGACACCAAAGCCAAAAAAGATAAAATTTTGAGTAAGAAATTCAGAGAGCTGTTAGAAAATAGAAGAAACACTATGACAAGATCACCTATACTGATGTCTGCAGCCTGTGGCTCCGGAGCCACATGTGGCTCTTTTGTCCCCCTGCTGTGGCTCCCTGTCAGCTGAACCGCCCACTGGCTGGTCCCGCCACTCACCCTCCCCTCCCAGTCACTCCTTGCCTGGCCTGACAAGGTAAGGTCGACAGCGGGGGATGGAGACTTGCTCCATATTCCAGAGCAGGAGCAAAGCATCCCTGTACTTGCCATATCTTGCAGGTGCTTTTTCTGGCCCTTGTTGGTGCTGCACGCACCTCGGTCGCTTGGGGAGATGCACGACTTGCTCTCCACCCTGAGACACTGGCCCAACCCAGCTGCAGCCAATGCTCTGCATCGTAATGGGCTACAGGAGGAGGAGGGGACACTGTCTCCCACATTGTGAAGTGTGCTAAATTTAACTATGCTGTGCAAGGAGCTGTGACAGCAGTGGGTAGGCTATGGAAGTGGCAACAGCAGTGGCGTTGGCTGCAGCCAGGCCAAGCCAGTGTCTCAGGGTAGAGAGCAAGTCGCGCATCTCCCCGAATGACCGAGGTGTGCACAGCACCAACAAGAGTCAGAAGGAGCACCTGTGAGATATGGCTAGTACAGGGGCACTTCGCTCCTGCTCTGGAATATGGAGCAAATCTCCATCGCCCACCGTTGGCCTTACCTTCTCAGGCCAGGCGAGGAGTGACTGGGAGGGGAACGTGAGTGGCGGGGCCAGCCAGTGGTGGGTTCAGGAAATAGGAAGCCACAGCAAGCGGACAAAAGAGCTTCATTTATCTGGCAACCTGAAATGACTCTTGTTTTAAATATAGTAAAAAGCACCCAAAGAATAAGAAAGAACATGGCGGGGGGGGGGACCCACCAACCCTTACAACCTGGGTAAGCATAGCTGAGGTGTGTGTGTCATGTAACTGGGTGGGAGTGAGTGACGTCGAGTTGGCCACGCCCACCTAGGTTTTGTGGCTCCCGGTGATTTCTTTTTTGTGGGAAATGGATCCAAATGGCTCTTTGACCTACACAGAAATCAAAGATGAAATAAAAAGAGAAAAACAAAGAAAGTCTTTCAAAAAATCTCTGAAATCAGGAGGAGGTTCCAATTACAAAATGCCAATGGAAAGATAGTAACCAGGAGCCTTGGTAGTACTAGGGTTTAAGGCACCCTGTTATTAAGCTGCTTAAGACCAGCTGCCTGCAATTACTGCAGGGTTCGAATCTCGCCAAGGCTCAAGGTTGACTCAGCCTTCCATCCTTTCTAAGGTAGGTGAAATGAGGACCCAGTTTGTGGGGGCAATAAGCTGACTTTGTATAAAATATACAAAAGGATGAAGGCTATTGCTGAGCACATTGTAAGCCGCCCTGAGTCTTCGGAGAAGGGCGGCATATAAATCAAATTAAAAAAAAATAAAAAAAAAATTCAAAGGAGATCAAAGAAAGATGGAAAGAATAAACTAGATGAACTGTTTATTTATTTTATTTATTTATTTTATTTTATTTAATTTATATACCACCCTACTCCCGAAGGACTCAGGGCGGTGGACAGCCACAAGATAAAAATACATCATACAAAAGTTAAAAAACCATTTAAAAGTACATTAAATAATTTTGGCCCAAAAAATGAATTTAAAAACACCCAATTTGTATAAAACTTAAAGGCAAATTAAAAGGGAGAGTCAAGCCAGACCAGCCTGCTGGAATAAAAATGTTTTGAGGGCACGGTAGAAAGTGTGTAAATCTGGGATCCTCCGTATCTCAGGGGGGAGCTCATTCCAGATGGCAGGCGCCCCTACAGAGAAGGCTCTCCCCCTGGGGGCCGCCAGTCGACACTGTTTGGCCGACGGCACCCTGAGGAGCCCCTCTCTATGGGAGCATACTGGTCGGTGAGAGGCTACTGGTGGCAGAAGGCGTCTCATAAGTACCCTGGTCCTAAGCCATGGAGCGCTCTAAAGGTGATCACCAAAACCTTGAAGCGCACCCGGAAGACCACCGGGAGCCAGTGCAGCTCATGCAGGAGGGGAGTCACATGGGAGCGCCACATTGTTCCCATAACCACCCGTGCGGCCGCATTCTGGACCAGCTGGAGCCTCCAGGTGCTCCTCAAGGGGAACCCCATGTAGAGAGCATTACAGTAGTCCAGGCATGAGGTGACAAGGGCATGAGTGACCGTATGTAACGAGTCCTGATCCAGAAAGGGACGCAACTGGTGAATCAGGTGGACCTGATAAAAAGTCCTCCCAGCCACAGCTGTCAAATGCTCTTATAAAGACAGCTGTGACTCCAGGAGGACACCCAAGTTGCGAGCCCTATCCGTGGGCACCAACGACTCGCCCCCAATAGTCAGTGATGGCACCAACTGACTATATCAGGACGTCGGAAACCACAGCCACTTGGTCTTGGATGGGTTGAGTCTGAGTCTGTTTCTCCCCATCCAGATCCGCACGGCTTCCAGGCACCGGGACATCACTTCAAGGGCATTGTTGGGGTGATCCGGGGTGAAGATGTACAGCTGAGTGTCATCAGCATACTGGTGGTACTTCACCCCAAAACCACAGATGATCTCGCCCAGCGGCTTCACATAAATGTTGAACAGAAGGGGCGAGAGGACCAATCCTTGTGGCACCCCACATACAAGGGACTCGACCTCTGCCCCCCTGTCAACACAGACTGTGACCGGTCGGAGAGAAAGGAGGAGAACCACTGCAACACGGTGCCTCCCACCCCCAACCCTTCCAACCGGTGCAGTATGATACCATGGTTGATGGTATCAAAAGCTGCTGAGAGGTCTAACAGGACCAGGACAGAGGAGCAACCCCTGTCCCGAGCCCTCCAGAGATCATCAACCAATGTGACCAATGCTGTTTCCGTGCTGTACCCAGGCCTGAAGCCCGACTGGAACGGATCTAGATAAGCCGATTCATCCAGGTACTGAGGCAGCTGTCACGCGACCACACTCTCAACAACCTTCGCAACAAAGCGAAGGTTGGAGACTGGACGATAATTAGCCAACACTGCCGGGTCCAGGGAGGGCTTCTTGAGGAGAGGCCTCACCACCGCCTCTTTCAAGGCGGCGGGGAAAACACCCTCACTCAAAGAAGCATTTATAATCTCCTGGAGCCAGCCTCATGTAACCTCCCGAGAGGCCAGCACCAACCAGGAGGGACATGGGTCCAATAAACATGTGGCCGCACTCAGTCTGTCCAGTATCCCGTCCACGCCTTCGGGAGTCACATGATCAAACTCTTCCCAAACAATGTTCCGAAGACCTGCCTCCGTCATCCCTCCTGGATCTACCCAGTCAGAGTCTAGGTGTTCCCAAATCTGAGCAATTTTGTCATACAGATATTGTACAAAGTCCTCAGCCCTACCCTCCAAGGGGTCCTCCCGCGCCCCCTGATGGAGCAGGGAGCAGGTCACCCTAAACAGGGTGGCTGGGTGATTATCTGATGACGCAATAAGAGCGGAAAAATAATTACTCTTCTCCGCTTTTATCGCCACTAGGTAAGTCTTAATATGAGACCTTACCAGTGCTCAGTCAGATTCAGAACAACTAGCCCTCCAACTGCTCTCTAGGTGTCTTTTCCGGCGCTTCATCTCCCTCAGCTCCTCAGTGAACCAAGGAGCCAGGTGAGACCGGCACCGTGTCAGAGGCCGCAAAAGCACGACCCAGTCCAAAGCTCCAGCAGTCGCCCTATCCCAGGCGGCCACTAGGTCTTCAGCCGAGCCATGTGCCAGAGCCTCAGAAAGTGGCCGAAGCTCCGTCTGGAACCTATCTGGATCCATCAGGTACCTGGGGCAGAACCACCTCATCAGTTCCGCCTCCCTGCAGTGGGGTGTGGCGGTTCAAAGGTCTAAGCGAAGGAGGGAGTGATCTGACCATGACAAGGGCTCAATCGCTATATCCCCTATCTCAAGATCACTCAACCACTGGCCAGAGACAAAAACCAGGTCCAGCGTGTTTCCCCCCGTGTGAGTAGGGCCATGAATTAACTGGGTCAGGTCCATGTCCATCATGGAAGCCATGAACTCCCGGGCCACCTCAGATGCCTCGCCGATGGATGGCAGGTTAAAATCCCCCATGACCATAAGCCTGGGGGTTTCAACCGCCACTGCGGCTATAACGTCGAGCAGCTTGGGCAGAGCCGCTGCCACATGGCAGGGAGCCAGCTACGTGACTAGCAGGCCCATCTGCACCCCATGACCCCACTTCAAAAGGAGGGACTCACATCTGGCCGTCTGAGGAACAGTGGCCTCCCTTGGCCTAAGAACCTCATTAATAACAACAGCCACCCCCCTCCCCTCCCCTGTGAACTTGGCTGATGAAATGCATGGAAACTGGGTGGGCACATATCAACAAGAGGGGCTCCCCCCTCCTGGCCCAACCAGGTCTCTGTAATACCCGCCATGTCCACGCCCCCCTCCTGAATATGCTCACAATGAGGGGGGCTTTATTTGCCACAGACCTGGCATTGCACAGCATCAGCCGATGGCCCAGGGCCCAAGGATCTGTGCAACCTGGGGAATGAGAGGAGCATTGGAGGGCAGAGCGCGCCACCGCTTGGAGACAGCGAGCATGCACTCCCACAACATGATGTGGCTTCCTACTCCCGCCATATCTGCTCCTCCCACCTACAGTATCGATGTCATAGCCATCCGCACCACAAGCTCTAACCCCCTCCTTGACCTCAGAACCCGCACCCCCCATGCCGCGCTCCTCAGGTGGACTAGGCACCCTGCAGGTTCTCCCCCAGACGCACTCAGCCCACCCCTCTCCCAGAATCCTTTAAAATCTTGTTCAAAAACTTCCCTAAAAATCCCCACAGCCCTCTTTTTGCAGAATGCCATCTCTCAGGACTCCAAAGTTCGTCATCAAGATAGGCCCTCGATAGAGTGGAGGGCCAAACCTGTGAGAGGGGGGAATCTCGCAGGACAAGGAGCTCAAGCACTGAATACATCCGCTCATTAGGGTGAAAGAGTCCATGGTCGGGAGACCACCAAGATATTATAGTCCACAAGGGAAAGTTCCAATCCAGGTACACACAATCAGACTCCATTGCCCTCTCACAGCAATGGGGGGGGGAATACATGTTATTCGACTGCCGGAAATTTCTTGGACTAGCCATCCTCTCACGAGGCCGATCCAGTTTAAATAATCCAAATGGATTGATGGAACACTGGTAGTGAGAAGAGTCATACACCGGTTCCCTCCAGACTTGTGTACCCAGGTCTAGTTCCCCATATGGGTAGAAGCAAGTCAGGGAGCCCAGCTCATGAGAAGGATTTAGTATGGGGAGAAATCTTGCAGCGGTGGGATTTCAGAGAGGGCTTGATGAAAAACTGGGGGAAGTAAGAGTCACTCAGCATACCAGGATAGGTGGGGTAGCGGTGATCATAATAAGGCCAAAAGGCCTAAACTTGGTCAAAAAGGAAGGAGGGGGGGCAATGCAGGCAGCAAAGTGTCCACAGTCATTTTCCGACTCCCCTATCCACTTCAACTTCCAGTTGGTGGTAATGCTCCCCCATTTTGCCCCCTCCAGCTCACCATGGAGGTCTCTGGGTACGCCTGGGGGTGGCCCTTCCCCCATGGTCCAAACCCCTTCAGCCGCCCAGGAAAACCAGGTTGAAGGTACTGCTAAGCATCCCACACCATCTCCTTCAGGGACTGCCGGCCTTTAGGTAGCTGCCCTAACTCCAGCTGCCATTTCCGTGAACCGCCAATGCGGCCGCTATCTCCGCCACCAACACCGCCGCTGCTGGCCCTCCCGACGTCCTCCACAGCCTCCCCTAGCCTCCACAGGTCTTCCCGAGGCATCCAGGGGAATAGAAAGCCCCGCGGGAGCAGCCCAGCACCACCATCGTTGGCTGCCATCTCCGCCGCCGACACTGCCCCTGCTGGCCCTCTCAACATCTTCCACAGCCTCCCCTAGCCTCTACAGATCTTTTCCAAGGCATCCAGGGGAATGGAAAGCCCCCATGGGAGCGCCTCGGTGCCACCATCATCAGCCGCCATCATCTTGTCATCCCGCC